ATAAAAAAAACGTACTCGATACTCATGTACTCGACCGGTAATGTCGGTACCTAATACAGACAGCAAATTTTTCTATTTTTATCTGTGCGTTATTTTGTTGGTGGCGCAGTCCACCGAGGTGGAGAGAGGCAGTAACTACCCGGTCCTTCCACGAACGCAGCTATGAGTCGTATTATATTCTGGAGACAGCTTAATCACGCACAGCTAGCAGCAAGCCGTCGTGCGACAAAATCGTCCGACAAACCAACGGTACAGTAACGGACCTCCAGCTGCCGAACGTCAAGTCGGTGCGATTCGCATGCAGGACACATCGACTTTGCAGTCTAGCTAACATAGTTTGATTAAGTTTGTTTTAACCCTTTTATCTTATTAACCCTTTTTTAGGGCCGCCGACTCGACCGACCGCCTGGCGCGCTTAACCCATAGACTGTATTTCGGTCACGCTTGTTCAGACCCGATAGCGGCCGCTTGTTTAACTCTGCCGCGCGGTCCGGATCCAATATAGACTCCCATACCGTTTGCGCGTAATTAAATTATTAGACACGAAACGCACTAGATTTTTATCATCGTTGACTATCTCAGTGTTTTTACGAAGAGAACCGTTTCTACGAGTGAAAAAATTATGTTGCTAGTGCATTCGATACGTAAAACAGTTGGCGACAACCGATTCTGTGTCTACATTTTCGATTTTCGATATTGTTAATGTAAAATCAAAAACAAATATTTAAACGCTATTTGACTTTTCATTAAGTGGATATTGACCGTTTTTGTTAAATGAATATTTTAAATTAAAAACAAATAATAACATTCAAATTTATATGGTATTTGTTCATTTTAATTTTTAATAAACATTTAATATTTACACATCTGTTACAAAACACATGGATAATTATTTTTCAATGCACATTTCTACTCACATATTTCAATTTCGATATTCGAAGCAATAAATTAACCATCTCTATTTCTCAAAAACTAATTATTTTAACGATAATCAGTAGTATTTCCTTTAAGTTTTTTGAAAATATATCAAATATCTTATCATAAAAAACTTTTAACTTTTTAACTTTTTTTTTAGTATTTAAGTTAAAGAGATGTGAAAAATCACATTATAATTTTTTTTTGCCTTTAATGAATGTTCGTTTTTTATATATTTATTCTTAACTATTATACAAAAAAAAAAAAAAAAAATTGATAATCAGCTATTTAAATAAATTATTAAAAATACATGTTTACTAAAAATGGGGCTCGGACCATATTTGACATGTCAAATACGACTTAAGGAGTTAGATAGTATAATTGTTGCGTGCTGTCAGTTCAACCGTTAAGATTATCAAATAATAAGTCAACTCTCATAAAATTAACAACTGTTATAATATTTATTTAAGTTCACGTATTTGTGTACAAGAAATAATTTTAAGTTAATTACTTATAAGTTAATATATCTTAAGTGAACTGATGCGAAAGTGCTTTCTCGGACGGAACTAAAACACATCTAAATATTGATTTGTTAGCAACCCCCTTATATACTCAGGTCTTGTGGGAATCAATCGTGCCGTGCTATGTAAAAGTTGTTCCTGATTATTATAAATAATTGATTACTTTAGTGACCTCGCTAATATTATTATTCACACATTTCCCATATTTTGTCACGCTTTTTTTTAATTACTTTTTAATATTACACTTTAAAATGTAGCCATCCAGTTCTTATATAATATGTGTTTGTGTTACCTTCTGATTTTAATTAATTAATAATTCCTTTCTATTCATACGAATATTACATTATTTGTAAACATTTCCCGATGTCTATTATTTATGATTGATGTGGTCCCTCCGATGTAGTAAGACTCGTAAGGAACTTCATGTATGAATATTCGTAACTGTTCGAGACTCGCTGCTTATACTCTCTGCGGGCCCGGAACCGGTCTCATATCTTATCGGATTGATCTGTTCACCGGGGCCGTAGAGAATGTTCTCGAGATCGGCGTTTTTCTGTCGTCGAGTGACTCCTGTGGTGTGAGCCTCTGCGTATGCCTGGCGCGTTTGGCGTACGATTGTGGTGTTTTTAGAACAGTGTTTTTTTTTCTATTTAGTTAATGCACCCTTTCTTTTGTGATTCGCCATTAACCAAGAATTTGTACCCGGGACCCATTCCAGTTTGCCCCTGTCGTTGCGGATCGTCCGTGTATTTGAGTTCTCGTCGCACGTGTCGAGTTATCCACAGTCGCGTGGAATAGAATCCAGCGGGATTCAAATATATTGAGGTACTGGGAGCTGTGCCTCCCTTTATATGATTACTTTATTGATATTGTAATATTTTAGTTTATTATTTTTGTGTATAATAATCATTTAATTATAATATTATAATATTATTATAATATACCATATAATAGTTGAATTGTTTCCATTTTTTCATTATTATTATTATTAAGAAAATTAGTCCCGATCCCTCTGATCGATCCAAAATAGGACGTGCGATTCAGGACCATTTATATTCATTGCGTACGGCAAATACGCAGGCGTTTTGCCGCGTCGGCTTAAGCGCAAAACAGTAACAATATATCATACTGATGCCTTTCTATAATAGTTGTTTTTATTATTTATTATATACTATGTATTGGCAATTATTACTATATAATTGGCAATATAACTTGTAAGGACCTACATCTATGTATGACCATAACATAATAATTACAGTAGAATCTCGCGGATCCGTCGGTTTCGAATGAAAATAGAGCCAGTTACTCCGTAGTATCGCCAGAAAACGTGAAATAAAATAATACATATATGTATATTATGAAATATAAATCTGTTTTACGGGGAATATTACTGATACGTATTTTATTAGAACATAAACATATTAAAATCGATGATTGGATTGGATCGATATACATTTTATAATATTACATGCCTGTGAGCCCATAATCATGTAGACACTACTTGTTGGTTGTTTATTTATTTTACTTTTTTTTTACAGTGTACCCGACATCATAATCTTTGTTTATGACACCATTTTTGCCTATTAAGAACATTAAAACTGATTCAATTAACTAAACGCCTTTGGAATGTCACATTTCCGGATTACCAGAAATATCGCAGTTAGCAATGCTTTTGTATATTCTAGTGTAGTAGACTCCGTTTTATAGAGGTATCGGTGAATTAAGAAAATATTGAGACAAAATTATCAAAATAAACCAACGATATGACGTTATTATCCACTGCTTATCTGGGCAACGAAACCGGATGATTGGAAAATTTTTGTGGATTATTTTATATCAATTAAATGATCGATAATCCGACAATATCGGATTACGTTTTTTTTTTCACTGAGGCGTTTAGGTTCAAATGCACTGTGTGTTGAACGTTAATTATTTGTATATAAAAAAATGTACGGATAACTTCAGATATTTACATTGATTGATTGTTATGTTGGGATATAGATTGTTGGATAAAACCAAACAATTCCAAAATATGTATGTCAATGTTTTCGTTAACACTCAGAGAAAATTATTAAATGCAGAACTATAAGATCAATTAAATATTTTGTTTCTAGAATTTGAACAAATATTTTTTTCGAAGAAATTTATATTAATTTTATTTTTACATAAAGTATATCATATTACATAATATGTTTTATTTAATTTGTTAGACAATTATTCATTCATATTATTAATAAGTCAGTACAGGTAACCACCAACAAAGTGTTATGCCTTTTTCGGTAAATTCGTATTATTGGGATTAAACAATTCGTGACTGATGTATACTGATAAAACGGGATCTAAGTGTGTTATATTCTGGAGGTGTGTGATAGCATTTGATTTCAATCGATTGTTATTCGTGTTCTTTTTTTTTTTATAAGCTTTTTAAAGGCATTACGTGGAGGTTTCGATTCGCTTCACCATGATGGGTTGCAATCATTGGACTGCACATGCCAAATAAATTCAATCTAATTCGAAAAATAATAGTTTGTTAGACCTAGGGTTTCGTGTCTATTGACTCACCATGGACTGTGTACAAGGTGTATGTTATTTAAAAAAAAAAAAAAAAAGTGTTCGCATGTCTGAGAATCTAACCAAATACTCCAAATTTAAATTAATCGCTAAAAACAAACTCTATACGTGTTAATCAAAAACGAAACAAGACACATTTCCCAATTCAACTCAGCATGAATTACTTAGGGTTTAAACTGGCATTTCCCAAAATTATTTTTGCCCTAGAACGTTTTTTAAATTTTCAAAAATCTCATTCGAACTCCTTCCGTAAATTTAACAAAATATGTACAGTTTAATTTTAATAACCAATCATTTAATTTAACGCTGTAAATATTTATTACTTACAAATATAAATACCAACTACAAGCATAAATCGTATAAGCAGAATTTCAAATTTGCTAATATATTATGATAAAAGGATCGCTCTCCTAAGTAAATATTAAGTAAATCATTCTTAAACGCTTTCTTAAAAATTAAAAATACGCATTTGGCAGTGGCAGTGCCGCAATGCCCGCACTAGAAACCGTTATTCATAACAATGTCAGCTCGTTCTACAGTGGACATGAGAACGTGAACCGTCCCAAAAAATAATACAAAATTATTAGACTAGATAATTATTAAGGTAAATTATAGTTATGTGGGATTTAAGTAATAAAAATCACTCAAAATTTAATTTAATTAAAATAGACACTATATTATATAAATATGTATGTACAAATATCGATACACGCTACAATTGCGGAGGAATTGCCGAATATATCGCAGAGTGTAATTCACAGAGTGTCGCGAATTGTAATCACGGACTGACTGAATGAGCATCTGACCAGCCGGTTTATATATATATATCGGCGTCGATTGTCTAGAACATTCTCGAAATTACCTTAACGAGATAATCATCGCATATTCTAGAACATGGGATTTCCCCTTATCCACTGACAATATTGTAAACAACTTGGACGATTCGCGGTGCGTTGTTTACGTCACCACATCACTCCCCTACCAGTGACGGAGTCAAGCATAACCTACTTGGAGATGGTCTGGAAAACAAACTCTTCTTCCGGAACGTGTCCTTTGATCCTCCTTTGTAATGGTATTCGGTGTAGATGTCTGAATTTCTCTCGAAATATCTTCCTTAGAATGGTCGTCTACTATGATGTAGGCTGGTTTAAGTCTATCAATAGTTACTCTAACTTTTTTCTTCTTTATATCAATGACAAACGTTTTTTTATTTCGACTTATGACTCTATAGGGACCATCATAGGGCATTTTTATTCCATTTTTGGGTCCGTCATGTCGAATGAATACGTACTCTGTGGTTGCAAGGTCTTTGAAAACAAAGTTTTTCTTCTCGCCATGGTGTGTACCATTGACAGGTCGGATCTGCTGAATGTGATGTCGAAGATCTTTGATAAACTCAGCTGCGTCGTCGAACTTGGCAGCATTATCTTTTGACGTTAGGAATTCATCAGGGAGTCTAAGTGGCTCTTCATAGACTAATTCTGTACAGGTGGATTTAAGATCGTCGCGCCAAGCTGCTCGGATGCCCAATAAGACTGTCGGAAGAGTTTCTGTCCATCGATTATTTTGATGACATTTAATGGCGGCTTTAAGCTGCCGATGGCTTCGTTCTACCATGTCATTTGCTGACGGATGATAGGCCGTGGTTCTAAGATGGTTCATCTCAGTCAAGTTATTAAATTGCTTGAAAAGGCATGACTCAAATTGTCTTCCCTGGTCTGTTGTGATACGAAGAAGGGTACAAAATCTTGCGATTCAATGCGTATAGAAAGCTCGTGCTACGGTTGCCGCTTCTTGATCTTCTAATGGAATTACCTCAGTCCATCGAGTAAATCTATCGATACATGTGAGGCAATAGCGAAATCCTGATAATTGAACTTGCTTGAGTTGTAGTCCAGTGTTTTCTTTTTCGTATTTTTTTAATTCATCGTCTCCCTGTTGTGATATCGCAAATGCAGTGTAGTCTATTGTCTCTGACAAGGAGTCAACGTGAGATAAGGTATCAGCCACGATATTCTGCTTACCTGGAACATACCTAATATCCGTGGTGAATTGTGAGATAAAGTCTAGGTGTCTGAATTGTCGTGGTGTGCATTTATCCGATTTCTGCTGAAATGCAAAAGTGATGGGTTTGTGATCAGTGAATATAACCAAATCGCGTCCTTCTACCATATACTGAAAATGCTTGACAGCAAGGTATATCACGAGAAGTTCTCGATCGTAGGCTCCGTATTTCGTCTCGGTCGCTGTGAGCTTCTTGGAAAAGAAGGCAAGAGATTGCCACTCATTATTGATGAACTGTTGGAGAGTTGCACCAACTGCGGTGTTTGAAACATCACTTACAATAGCCAGTCGAGCGTTCTCGCATGGATGTGCGAGAAGCGTGGCTGTGACGAGTTTCTCCTTGCATTTTTCAAAAGCCGAAATGGCCTCTGGTGTCCAGTTAATAGGTGACTTACCTTTTAAATTGGGTATCAAAAGATCACTTAGTGGTGCTTGTGCGTCTGAAGCTCCAGGTATAAAACGACGATAGAAGTTTATCATACCCAAGAACTGTCGTAGACCCTTAGCGGACGATGACCTCTTGTAGCTCAAAATGTCAGTGACTCTGTTGGGTAAAAGACGTGTTCCTTCTCTAGAAATCATGTAGCCTAAAAACTTTACTTCTGATTGTCCAAAAACACATTTTTTTGGATTGACAACCAGAGAGAATTCGCGTAGACGCTCAAAAATGATTTGTAAATGTTTGATGTGCTCTTCCTCAGAAACAGATGCCACCAATATGTCTTCAATGTATCTGTAACAGAAATCAATCTTTCAATTCAATCTTCGTTGAAACGATTGTGCTGCATTTCGAAGTCCAAAAGACATAAAGAGGAATTCGTAAAGTCCAAATGATGTCACGATTGTGGTTTTAGGAATATCTTCTTCAGCTACAGGAATTTGTTTATATGCTCGGACTAGGTTGATTGTTGAAAAAATCGTTTTACCGTGGAGAAAGTGTGCAAATTCTTGAATATGACGAACCGGGTACCGGTCTGGAATAGTCCGAGCATTTAGAGCACGGTAATTCTCACAAGGACTCCAGGCGTCCGTTGTGTTCTTTGATGTCAAGTATAATGGTGATGCCTAAGGTCCCTGGGACGGTCGAATAATGCCTAATTGGATCATAGCTTCAAAATCCTTTTTTGCTGCCTTGAGATTATCAAGTGCTAAGCGTCGTGGTTTACAAGATACTGGGGGTCCTGGTGTCGTTTGAATATACTGTTTGGTGCTGTGCCTAATGTCTTTAGGAGCTTCATATGGTCGAGTGATCTCGGGAAATTTCCGTAGTAAACAGTCGTATTTCGTTTCTCCCACGACAATCTTTATGGATGGTATGGAGGATTCAGCAACGTGACCATGAGCGGTGAGTCCTGTAACACCGTCTAAAAGACATTGATTACGCACGTCTACCAATAAATTTAAATGACTCAAGAAGTCCACACCAATGATTGGTTTGGATACTTCCGCGATCACAAACCTCCAAGTGAAATCTCGACGAAGTCCGAAGTTGAGGCTGAGCCATTGGCTGCTGATAGGACGTAATCGGATTTTACTCGTCGGTCTGGAACAGCACTACGTGGATAAACACATAGGTCGGCACCCGTGTCGATGAGAAAATGAGTTTGAGTAGTTCGATCAGTAATGAATAGATGGCGAGGGGACGGACTGGTCTCACTGGCCGTCATCAGTGATGACCCGTCACATTTTCCTGAATTATAGGTACAAGGTTCCTTGCATTTTCGCGATTGTGATCCATAACGCCAATAATACCAGCATAATCCATCTGCACCATGGAAAGTACGGCTCCGAGATCGAGATCTTGAGTGGTAAGTACTTGGTCTTGAGTCCGGATTACGCGAGGGACGAGTATTGATCGCTGCCACTTCACTTCTCAACGTCGCAATTTCCTAAATTATACTCAAGGTAAGCTGAGAAATTTTAAGATTCAACATGGCTTCAAGAGTGTCACTTCTCGATGTCTCTGCTATTTGAGGTAGCAAAGGACCAGATGCATCCTCGATGTTGTCTGCATGGACAGCGAGTTCTTCAAGCTTACTATCTTTAACTATTGCTAACGCCACTTGTATGCTTTTTGGTAGGCGGCCCATCCAAAGTGTCTTTAATAATGTTTCCGGAACGGAAGAGTCAGCCAGGTTTTGGAGGTGGCGTAAAAATTGTGACGGTTTACGGTCACCGATCTCAACGCGCTCCAAAAGTTGACGTGTTTTTTCCTCTTGAGAGGCACTAAGACGTTTTATTAATTCATCTTTAATTTTGACATACTTCTGTCCGAGGGCGGCGTCATAATTATGTCTTTGACTTCAACTGCATATTTCGGCGTTAATGCTCCAATCACATACCCGAATTTCGTGTTGTCAGCTGTGACTCCCGCGCTGGCAAAACTACCTTCGACCATAGCAAACCAAAGTTCGGGATCTGACGAAATGAAATCCGGTATTTTGATGGCTACTCGAGCAATCGTTGCGTCTGTCTCTGCCATCACGTCGAGGTCACCAATTTGTGGGATTTAAGTAATAAAAATCACTCAAAATTTAATTTAATTAAAATAGACACTATATTATATAAATATGTATGTACAAATATCGATACACGCTACAATTGAGGAGAAATTGCCGAATATATCGCGGAGTGTAATTCACGGTGTGTCGCGGATTGTACTCACGGACTGACTGAATGAGCGTCTGACCAGCCGGTATATATATATCGGCGTCGATTGTCTAGAACATTCTCGAAATTACCTTAACGAGATAATCATCGCATATTCTAGAACATGGGATTTCTCCTTATCCACTGACAATATTGTAAACAACTTGGACGATTCGCGATGCGTTGTTTACGTCACCACAATTAGTTATTATGCACATCTTCTGTAATTAACAAAATTATTTATTAAAAATTAAATTTTTTGCAAATTTTCGTGTTGAGAAGTGTGCCTAATTGGAATTGAATATTTAGGGGAGCATATATTCGTTGTGCTTCGGGCGGCCGTACAAAAACTAACTACATGCGAAGAAGCGTCGGTTAGTTGATTAATTATCGTTTGAAGCACAATCAATGTGTGCTAATGAACTTATTTTTATCGTTCTGCGATCACGTCGATTGTGGAAACGATATTTTGTGTTTATGTTTCATATATGCCTAATAAGTTATTATTTTCTAATTATTTTTATTTTACCGCGACGAAAAGATTAGGGAGCTTAAGGAAATTGAATGTTATATGTTTTATGTAACCAAAACTATTAAAAATAAATATTTTATTATTTGCCTACATTGGTATTTTACAAATTATTTATGCACCATCCTATGTGAACCCCACGAGCTGCATAAATATATTAACTTATTTATTTATTAATTCATTTAATGCTAATCTTCAATTTAAAGATATACAATAACAGCACATGTATAAAATTACAATAATAGTAGTGATTAAAACAAAACAAAGATAAACATAGTAGTTCACGGTAAAATCTAACTAAATATTTAGTACAAATAAAAATATAACATGCTATTGTACAATCAGGAATCTGTTTTGAACTCGCTTTAAACGTAACTGGTGTTTAGCCAAATAAAGGTGTCATACAGCTATACCATATTCCAAAATAGAGCGGACATGAACGTGAAAAGGCTAATGTTGCGCTCTATGAAACCCATAACTTTTAATGTTCTACCAACTGCTATATTAATATGTTGTTCAAAATAAAAAGAAGGAACTAGGTAGATCCTAAAGTCTTAAAACAGAATAAACGCGTTCTACAGGAGAGCCACTAAAGGTGTAAAGGAAGTTGATTGGAGTTCGCTTTCTATAACATGTCATACTACGGCACTTATTGAGATTGAGTGTAAGGCCAATACGCTGAATCCAGAGACAAAAAGAGTCGAGATCAGACTGAAGCTGATGGCAGTCGAAGATGGAAGTAACTTCAGAATAAATTTTAATTTCATCGGTAAATAGAAGGACTAAAATAAAAGGTAGGTTTCTTATTTAACTTATCTTCAATCTCTCTCTTTATATATTAGATACGTTTATAATCATTTTAATTCTGCCGTATTGGTAAGTATCGATTTCTACTGGTATTAAAGTTGGGTAGCTAATTTCTTTTAAAACACATATTATCGTTTAAAAGATCTGCAAAATGGATAAGCAGTATAGGATTAACGTGATTTTTTTTTTTTTTTTAAATAAAACACTGTGACTGTTTAAAAGAATTAATATATATTAGTTTCGGTATTCATCCCTATCAGCTTCACCGGTTCACTTTGAACACATTACTTCTCGTATCCCTCCACCTGTTTGTATGATCAAAACAATTTGAAGTCGTATTTTATTGTATATAATCCATATACTTTGTTAATTTAATTAGGTTCAATGATTACAATTGCCGAAACAAGTCAAAATACGAGAAAGACTTTTGAGGATCAAAGTAACAGACTAAAGGTCTCTAAAATGAACGACTCGCAGTTAACATTTTTAATAACTAATTTATGTTATTTTTTATTTTTAATAAATATCTAGCTCAATGCCTACGTTAGTTAAATTATTATTAAATATAATATACAATATACAGTAGAAATCAATATAACGAGCATCGCTTAGAACGAGATACTGCTTACAACGAGCAAAATGTTAGGTCCCGGCACGAGCGCATATGATTGTATGTTAAAATATACGTTTACAACGAGTATGGTTATTATGAGTTATCGGCTATAACGAGTAAAATAAAGCTAACTTGACTAACGACCTTCCGGTTACTACGAACTATTAACCTGCAAGATACGAACTATTTTCGTATTTAGGTCGATTAATCATTGACATATTATCTTTAGTTGTGTAGATATGGATTACTTATTAATAATAAACATTATTCTTACAAATTCTGGTGTTTTAAAGTTAATAAAATTACAAATTGCGTCAGTTGTGTGTAGACGTTCCACCATGTCGCATCGTCAGTTTGAAATTTATTAAACTCGTATTTTTGCCCGCCAACACCACTGCTGTACTTCAACCGATGGACCAGGGCGTTATAAGGAACATTAAAGCTCATCACCAGAATCAGTTGGTACTGAAAATGATTGAGGATATTGAAAATCAAACAGAATCAAAAGTAACTGTTTTGGATGCCATAATAATGCTGGATAAAGCTTGACGTAATGTAACATCGACGGGGATTGCTAATTGTTTTCGGCATGCAGGTTTTTGTAACGTTACGACCGATACTACACAGCTACAAGCAGATAGTGTATTGATTAATAACATTGACGAGGACTACTTACAGATTGATGATGACCTAATAACGTCAGAAATTCAAACAGATGAAGATATAGTCGACAATGTCATAGCCAGCTAACAAGTTAAGCTAGATAATGATACTGATATTGATGAGCTTGATGATGAGTTTGAAACTGTGCCGTCAATATCCGAAGCTCATGCTGCATTGAGGTCACTAGAAAGATTTTATTATACAAAATATGAAGGTACAGATGCTGAAAGAAAAGCGTTGTCTTTATTAGAAACATCGATCAACTCTAACACGAAGCAAAGTTCGATCAAAGATTATTTTAAGAAATTAAATAAAAATTAAATCAATTCAAGTGTTTTATAATTATGTATGTATTAAATCTCCAATTATAATAATTAATAATAAATGTATAAATAATGTATGTACGTGCATGTATAAATTAATCTCAAATAAAATTTTTTTATCTAAAATAAAAAAAGTCGGTTTTCTTTTGCATTTCCGCTTTTAATCGGTTTCAACGAATGTTCGTTCTAATCGCATATAACGAGTTACCGTTTATAACGAGAAAAACTAGTTGGCCTTTGAAACTCGTTATAACCGATTTCTACTGTATTATATTGTATAAAACCGAAAAATTAATAATTTATCATGGCTTTTGAGTTAGATTAAAGTATTGCCGGAAACGAGTTTTTGCGGATGTAAAACTTACACTAGGACTTTATAAAAATGTAAAATAACGTAACGGTAATGATTAATTTACATATATTTATGTTTATCTTAGAACATGTTATAATTACATTATATGTGTATTGATTTTTATTACTTCTAGACAGACTTTATATTAGGATTCAAATGTTTGACCCAATTGAAAAAAAAATCTCAGACAACGGATGCACTAATAGAATATTGACAAAAACGCCGTATAATTACATTCAGCTCACGTGTGTTGTAATTTTATAGATGCTAAGCCTGCAATTGAGATAACAGAGATCATCCGTGTAACTACGTTAAAAACAACATGGATACCGGATGTGATATTGGAAAATATTAATATTCCGTACAAAACACCCGTTACCCGAGCAATTTATAGATAAGTTTAATAGGCATTAAAGTTTAATTTCCCCGTTGAAGTAGAAACGATCGTAACGTTATATGCAGGATTCTTGTTTTCGGAAGAGGGAAAATTTTAAATAGTTAATATAAATATATTACATTTTTTTTTGGTTTAACAAAGCTTAATTTGTGGGAAAAAAATAGAATAAAAATTTGATACTAAAGGTACATTTAAACAAGAATTTATTAAATAATCTTGTGAAGCAAATTAATTTGTTTTCATAAGATTAATAAATAGTTTTACAAACTTAATAATTATAACGAAAATATAAACTTCCAATGTTACAAGAAATGTAAAATAAGTTTTTTTCTTTTTAAAAAAACATTGCTCGAATAATATGAATATATCATTAAAATTAATTGTGCATTGTGCAACACTATATATGTAGGTGACCGCCGCTGGCAATTGTCGTTTTGTTTGCTGTGTTGTGGTTTGGCTAACCAACTGAAGTAAAGCAATAATGACGTATTTGTATGCTTCTAAATTTTATCAAGAATCATTGCATTGTTTCTCGGAGATATTGAATATTCGTATTATTTTAACAGAATAACAAATATTTGCATTATTATATTCAAGGAATAAAAAGTAAATGCGTGGTTCAATATAGGTATAGTTATTTAACATTTAAAATCCACGTTTGACTGGCTCTAGACTGTTATTCTATTCAGATCATTACAGAACTTTGCTCATCGCCGTCATGAAGTATCTCCAAAAAATATACACGAAGTACTCGTGTACCGTTAAATCTTTCTTAAATGATAAATATTACTGCGTCCTTAATTGTAGCGATACCGGGATATTTTCAATATTGCTATTCAAAATTGTTGCATAATAATTTTAATACATATTTCAATAGATAAGTGAGTAAACAAATGTATTTTATTCACTATAATTGAGGGAAAACGAGAATGTGTTATTGAATATTTCCAAATCAGTTAAATGTTTAAAAAATAATTATAATAGCAAATCGATAATTAAATTTTTTAGTTTCTCAAAAATGTATTGCTTTTACCATAGAGTTTTTTTTTATCTCTTTACACGATTTCGATTAGAAAGAATGTTCCAATCTTCAAAATCTAAAAAAAAAATCATTAAATGCTTTATAGTTGGTATTTTAAAATAGAGTAA